CCTCCCTCCTCATTCCTCCTCCCCCTCCCCTCCTCCTCCTCCTCCTCCTCCTCCTCCTCCTCCTCCTCCTCCTCCTCCTCCATGCGGCTCCCGGGATGGCTGCGAACTGCGCACCTATCGCAATTTTCGTGCGCTCCTGGGAGGTCCAGCGGCGTGGAGTTACGCGAAGATCTAGTCGAGACCTCGCGGCTCCCTCGGGGGCTGCGAACTGCGCAACTCTCGCCGCTTTCGTGGGCTCCTGGGAGGTCCAGCGGAGTGATGTTGCACGCAGATCCAGTCGGGACCTCGCTGCTCCCTGGGGTGCTGCGAGCTGCGCAATGCGAGCTGCGCAATTGTCAACATTGTCGTGTTCTCCAGGGAGGTCCAGCGGAGTACAGTTACATGCAGATCCAGCCAGGACCTTGTGGCCCCCAGGGGGGCTGCGAAGCACGCAATTGTCGCCACTCGTGGGCATCTGGGAGGCCCAGCGCAGTGGAGTTACACGCAGCTCCAGCCAGGACCTCGCGGCCCCTTGAGTGGCTGCGAATCGCTCAACTGTCGCCACTTTCGTGGGGTTCTGGGAGGCCCAGCGGAGTGGAGTAGCACGCAAATCCAGACGGGATCTCGCCTCCCCTTGGGGTGCTGCGAACTGCGCAACTGGCGCCACTTTTGTGGGCTCCTGGGAGGTCCGGCGGAGTGGAGTTACATGCAGATCCAGCCAGGACCTTGCGGCTCCCTTACGCAGATTAGAATTCGGCCTCGCCGTTTCTGGGTGGCTGCGAACTGCGCAACTGGCGCCACTTTTGTGGGCTCCTGGGATGCCCAGAGTGACATTTTACGCAGATCAGAATGAGGACTCGCCGTCCCTGGGGTCTGTGACCTGCGAAACTGTCGCAGTTGGCAAGTCGCGTCGCAGTTCGCAAGTCGCAGATCGCAGCGCGATGGGGCGCCGTGCAGCGCATGGCGCTGTCTTGTGTCCATGCCGCGTCCTCTTTCCATCTGCCCCTTGACGGTCATGCGCTCGTGCGTGTGCTGCGTTCAGCGCAGGGCGCTGTTCTGTAATAGCGCGCATAACGCTGTCTTGTACTACGAATTCACCGCGCGGCGTTGCTACTCCCGCCAATGATCTGTCCTGTTATCCCTTCGCTGTATGTTTACACACGCATCGTTCGTGTTTTTTTCGTCTGTTCATGGTCGCTTCCTGCCAGTGATTTGAGTCGCAAGAATGATGCCGCGAGTGGAAAACAATTGATTGTGGCCCGGAGTCATTTGGCGAATAGTGTATGGTTGCGGCGCGTCCTTCAACGTTCGTTGTTGTATTGGGCGGTCCGAAGTATAGTTAGTCGCCTCGTGTGTGCCGAAATGTTAGAGACGTTCCCGGGTATGTGTATGTGTTGTTGTTGCTGTTGCGTTTGTTTCTCCATATCTCTTCCTGTTTCTTTGCATACATATATACAAGTGTTTTGTTTCACTTGTGCGGCTGCCACCCAACTATTGGCGAGCGTTGACATTTGTTTTACCAGCGGGGGGAGGTGAAGGAGGAGAGCAGACGCACTTCCTGGCGATCCGACATCTGGGGACCGTTCTTCGGATCCCGTGACCAGTCACATTACCTTGGCGACGTACCCAACCCCTGCGCAACGCGTGGCCGGAGTAGCGGGGTAGGGTGGATTGTATAGGGGGTGGCAACGTGGCAGGGAGCTATAGATCTTCTGCGAACGTTACTTGGGAGGCTCGCGACCTGCGCGCCTGGCAGGACACCGATCGATGGACAAAAGTCAGGAGGGAAAGAAACACACAGACACAATTAATCGTCGAGTCCCAGGAAAATATGGAAAATATGGGAATTGGGCGGGAAGACAAACAAAAACCCAGAAAACATCGGAAAATATGAGGAATCATTTTATTTGTGTGTATTTATTTGTGTGTCCCAGGGCCCCTTCAAAAAGCTTGATGGAATGATTGGTCAGGTCCCTGGGGTGAGGTCCCGCCCTGATCTGCGTAAAGCGTAGCTCCGCTGGACACCCCAGCAGCCCTCGGCAGTGGCGACAGCTTCGCACTCCGCAGCCCCCAGCGACGGAGAGGTCCCGTTTTGATTTGCGCAAGACGTCACTCCGCTGGACCCCCCAGCAGCCTTCGGAAGTGGCGGCAATTTCGCATGTCGAGGCCCCCCAGCGACAGCGAGGTCCCGCGCTGATTTGCGTAAGAGCTCACTCCGCTGGACCCCCCAGCAGCCTTCGAAGGTGGCGGCAGCTTCGTAGTTCGCAACCCCCCAACGACGGCGAGGTCCCGCTTTTATTTGCAGAAGGCGTCGCTCCGCTGGACACCACCAGCCCTCGACAGCGAGGTCCTGCTCTGGTCTGTGTATGCTGCCTCGTCGCTGGGCCTTCCCAGCAACCCTCGAATGTGGCGACAGCTTCGCATTTCGCAGCCCCCCCAGCGACGACGAGGTCCCACTCTGATCCGCGTAGGACGCCATTCCGCCATGGACCCCCCGCAGCCTCGAAAATGGCGACGGTGTCGCAGTTCGCAGCCCCCCCAGAGACGGCGAGGTCCCGCTCTGATTTGCGTAAGGCGTCACTCCGCTGTAGACCCCCAACAGCCTTCGACAGCGGCGACAGCTTCGCAGTTCGGAGCTCCCCAGCCACGGCGAGGTCCCACTCTGATCCGCGTAGGACGCCACTCCGCTGTGGACCCCAGCAGTCCTCGAAATTGGCGACAATCTCGCAGTTCGGAGCCCTCCATCGACGGCGAGGTCCCGCTCTGATTTGCGTGAAACGCTAGTCCGCTGGACCCCCCTGGAAGCCTTCGAAAATGGCGACAGCTTTGCAGTCCGCAGCCCCCCCCCAGCGACGGCGAGGTCCCGCTTTTATCGGCGTAAGGCGTCGCTCCGCTGGATCACCCAGCAGCCCTTGAAAGCGGCAGCAGTTTCGCCTTTCTCAGCCCCCCCAGCGACGACGAGGTCCCGCTCTGATCCGCGTAGGACGCTATTCCGTTGTGGACCCCCAGCAGCCCTCGACAGTCGCGGCAGTTTCTCTTTTCTCAGCCCCCCAGCGACGACGACCCGCGTAAGACGTCATTCCGTTGGACCCCCAATTCGCTTTCGAAGGTGGCGGCAGCTTCGCATTTCGCAGCACCGAGCGGTGGCGAGGTCCCGCTCTAATCTGCATAAGGCGCCACCCCGCTGCGGACCCCAAGCTGACCTCGAAGTGGCGGCAGCTTCGCGCATTCCGAAGCCCCCCCCCCAGCGACGGCGAGGTCCCGTTGTTTTCGGCGCAAGACATCGCTCCGCTGGATCCCCCAGCAGCCCTTGAACGTGGCGGCAGCGTCGTATGTCTCAGCCCCCCAGCGACGACGAGGTCCCGATCTGATCCGCGTAGGACGCCATTCCGCTGCGGACCCCCAGCAGCCTTCGAAAATGGCGACGATGTCGCAGTTCGCAGCACCCAGCGACGACGAGGTCCCGCTCTGATGTGCGTACGGCGTCACTCCGCTGTGGACCCCTAGCAGCCCTCGAATGCGGCGACAGCTTCGCAGTCCGCAGCCCCCCCCCCAACGACGGCGAGGTCCCGATCTGATCTGCGTGACACGCCACTCCGCTGTGGACACCCTAGCAGCACTCGAATCTGGCGGCAGCTTCGCAGTTCGCAGCACCCAGCGACGGCGAGGTCGGATGTTCATCTGCGAAAGATGTCACTCCGCTGGCCTCCCCCCCCAGCACCCCTCTAAAGTGGCGACAGCTTCGCACTCCGCAGCCCCCCCCCCCAGCGACGGCGAGATCCCGATCTGATCTGCGTAAGAACTCACGCCGCTGAATCCCCCAGCAGCCCTTGAAGTTAGCGGTAGCTTCGCAGTTCGCATCCCCCCAGCGACGGCGAGGTCCCGCTTTTATCTGCGCAGATGTCACTCCGCTGGACCCTCCAGCACCCCACTACAGTGGCGACAACGTTGCAGTTCGCAGTCCCCCCAGCCACGGCGAGATCCCGCGCTGATCTGCATAAGAACTCACTCCGCTGGACCCCCCAGCACCCCTCTAAAGTGGCGACAGCGTTGCAGTTCGCAGCCCCCCCCCCCAGCGACGGCGAGGTCCAACGCTGATCTGCATAAGAACTCACGCCGCTGGACCCCCAGCAGCCCTCGAAGGCGGCGGCAGCTTCGCAACTCGCAAACACCCAGCGACGGCGAGGTCCCGCTCTGATCTGCGTAAGACGTCACCCCGTTGGACCCCCCAGCACCCCACTAAAGTGGCGACAACGTTGCAGTTCGCAGTCCCCCCAGCGACGGCGAGATCCCGCGCTGATCTGCGTAAGAACTCACTCCGCTGGACCCCCCAGCAGCCCTCGAAGGTGGCGGCAGCTTCGCAGTTCGCACCCCCCCCAGCGACGGCGAGGTCCCGCTTTTATCTGCGTAGATGTCACTCCGCTGGACCCCCAGCAGCCCTCGAAAGAGTGGCGACAGCGTTGCAGTTCGCAGTCCCCCCAGCCACGGCGATGTCCCGCGTTGATCTGCGTAAGATGCCATTCCGCTGGACCCCATAACAGCCATTGAAAATGGCGACAGTTTCGCAGATCGGAGGCAAATACGGAATGGGTGCGAGACAAGAGGAGAGAGAAAGGGAGAGAGAGAGAGAGAGAGAGAGAGAGAGACAAACATAAAGAAACTCACAAAAAAACTAGAGGAGAGAGAGGGGGAAGGAGGGAGGCGGGAGGGGGATAAGGAATGACGCAACCACAGTGCTCTATTCAAAACGAGAACCCAACAACCGAGGGTTGGGAGCAAAATCTTGCGATGAAAGATCAGCCCCGAGGGTGGGGCAAAGAGCTCCAGGGGCGCACGAAACAGGCATCCCGACGGCGACGTTATGGGGCGAAACGTTTTGACGTGGCCCGCCCTTTGCTGGACCTCCTGGAGGGTCGTCGTCGCCACGGTTGGGTCTGCCTGGCGAGGCCTGCGCTTCAGAGTCTGGGGTGCCAGGGAGGGGGTGACGACGAGGCAGACGAGGAGAGAGTGATTCGACGAAGGAAGACACCATGGAGAAACTGTCCTTGAACGCCAAGGAGTCTGAAACGATATGTGAAGACAACATATTGCACGCCACGCGGTCTGCGGGAATTTCCTTCGCACAGAGCTTCAACTTTCTCATGGAAGGCAGGCTGTCGTCAGAGAAGAACCGGATCAAACTGGAAGACGAGCTGAAAGCTTTCCATGCTGAGATCTTGAGCAAAGGCACCCTCAAGATCGAGGAGATCATCCCAGACATGGACCAGTTCGGAACTTTGGACGCCTACGTCAACTACCTGCGCGACGACGTAAAGGTCCTCGGGATGGATGCGGACTGGAGGGGAAGGAGGAGGAGGAATACAAGGAGGAAGAGGAGGAGGACGAGGAGCAGGAGGATGAGGAGGCTCGTGGAGGTCCCTGGCATGGACATTGAGTTGAACGGAGGCGCGCAGTTCAAAAGACTCATGTACGAGGTGGAAGTGTTCGCCCGTTTTGCTGGCCTCGGCCAGAAGTTCACGCCTACCGACGTGATCCAGGCACGCGGTTCTGGCATGAGCCAGCCGTCCTGGTACGGAGTCATCAACACGTTAATGATGAAGAACGCCCCGACCAGGATGCAGGAGAAGACGAAATACGTCGGCGAGCGCCTGAAATGGTTCTTTACGCAGCAGAAGGATGCCACCGTGGAGTTCATGCTAACGGTCATGGGCTCCCCCGAGGAGCATCTGTTCTCCAAGCTCATCACCGAGCATGCGAAGGTGCTCATGCGAAACGACACCATGAAGGCATGCGTTTACAAGGCTTACGACGCCGCCTGCGAGAGCCACCGGGTGGAGTTCATGCAGATGTGGGTCGACTACATGAACAGCATGTTCCAGGCACCTCTGACCTTGCTGAAGTCTGGCACCATGCCTCCTCTGGGAGACGACTACGAGGCCGCGCTTTGGGTATATGTCCCTGCGGACTGCACCTATACGCGCATACATATAGGTATGTATATATGTATTCAACAGTGTACATGTATGCGAATATGTGTGCATACCTATAACCTATACATGGATACATGTATGACTGCATGCATGTATGTCTGTACGTACGTATGTATGTATGGGCTGATAAATTGATGGTTGATGGATCGATTGATTGATGTGTGCATGCATGCATGCATGCTTATTTACATGCATAAATACATACATACATACATACATACATACATACATACATACATACATACATACATACATACATACATACACACACATACAAACAAACATGCATACACACATACATGCATTCATACATACATATATACAGACATACATACATACATACATACATGCATGCATGCATGCATACATACATACATACACACACATACATACATACATATAGACATACATACATACATACATACATACATACATACATACATACATACATACATACATACATACATACATACATACATACATACATACATACATACATACATACACATGCATAGCTATAGTTACATGTATATATATATGTGTGTATATACATATATATTTATATGTGTGTGTATATATATATATATATATATATATATATATATATATATATATATCCCTGGGGGCGAGGCTGGGGGCCCCAGGACAGGTGCCTCCACCCCCCATGGCGGGACGGGGGGGGGCTGGAGCCTCCCTGGAGCAGCCCAGGCGGCCCAAGAGTGCTCCAAAAGCGCTCCACGGCAGGCCCAGCAGGCTCCAAGAGGCCCAGGAGGGCGCCAAGAGGGCCCCAAGATGCCCAAGATAAGCCCAAGACGGCCAAAGAGGCCCCCAAGACGCTCCAAGAGGCCTCCAAGAGGCCCCCCCAGAGGGCCCCAAGAGGCCAAATTCGTTCATTTTACGATGGTTTTGGACACATTTGTCTTTCCCGCCTTTTCAGCTTACCGACGCTCCACGACGGCTCAAAGGCCCCCCGCGGACGCCCCAAGACGGCCCAAGAGGCCTCCAAGAAGGCCTCAAGACGGCTCTGGAGGGCCCCAAGGCGGCCCAAGACGCGCCCAAGACGGGCGAAGAGAGGCCCAAGACGGCCCCCAGAGGGCCCCAAGAGGGGAACCGCGAACCGGAAATTCGAGCCTCCCGCCTCCACCGGGCCCCGGGAGGCCCCAAAGGGGCCCCAAGAGGCCCCAGGAGACCCCCAAGAGGCCGGTGCCCGAAAACAGCTGCCCCGACCCTCCATGGGGGTACCGGGGCTGATTTTCCATTTGTTCTTGCAGGGTTTCCGCGTCCTGGGCCTCGGAGGCCGCCGCCTCCGACCCCCCATAGGAGGACGGGGCGGCAGGAGAGGTCCAAAATAGAACAGGAGGGCCAGGACGGCCCAAGACGGCCCAAGCGGGCCCCGAGTCGCCGAAAGACCGCTCCGGCACGCCCAAGATCGGTTATCCAACAATTTTGGCCTTCCAGCCTTTCCGGCTGTCCGACGTTCCAAGACGGCTCAATAGGCCCCCAATAGCGCCCCAAAACAGCCCAAGAGGGCCCCAAGACGGCCCCAGAGGCGTCCAAGAGAGCTCCAAGACGGCCCCAAGATGCGCCCCAAAGGGGGACCACGATTCCAAAATTCGACCCTCCCGCTTGAAGAGTGCCCCAGGAGGCCCCAAGGAGCACCCAAGAGGCCCCACGAGGCCCCCAAGAGGCACCCAGGAGGCCCAAACGAAGCCTAAAGAGGCCACAAAACAGCCCCGAGGAGGCCCCACAACAGTCCTAAAACGGCTACCGAGAAGCTGCGAAGCTGCCTTCACGACGTCCCCGACAGGCCAACCTCGAGATCCAAACCAACACCCATGAGGCCTCTGACCCACCACCCAGGGCACGGTGGCGGGAGCAGGGACAGCACTTGTGCCCTTCCAGAACACGCTGCAAGAGGAGGAAGATCAGGAGGAGAGAGAGAGCTGTAGTTGGAGGAGGAGGAGGGGGACGAGGCGGAGGAGGAAGAGGCCTCCAAGACAGCTCTAAGGTAGCCGAAGAGGCTTCCAAGAGGGCCCTGGGCGGCCCACGAGGGCCCCAAGGCGGTGCCTGAGGCGCCCAAGACGGCCCGAGAGGGCCCCAAGACGGCCCCAAGAGAGGCCCAAAAAGGGAAACACGAACCGAAAATCCGAGCTTTCTACCCCGAGAGGTTCTCGGGAAGTCCCAAGAGGCCCCCAATCGGATCCAAGAGGCCCCCAAGAAGTTCCCAAGAGGGCCGACGAGGTTCCAAGAGATCTCCCAAGGTGGCCCCAAGAGGCACAACTTATTGTTTTACGATTGGGCTTTGACGGGTTTAAAACGTTTCTGCCTTTTGGCATCCCGATGCTCCAAGACGGCCCAAGAGGCTTCCAATACCGCTCCAATATAAAGGCAGAGGCCTCCAAGAGGGCCCCAAGACGGCCCACGAGGGCCCCAAGACGGTGCTTGAGGCGCCCAAGACGGCCCGAGAGGGCCCCAAGAGCCCCAAGAGAGGCCCAAGAAGGGCAACGCGACCCAACAGTAGAGCGTTCCCCCCCCCAAAGGCCCACAGGAGGCCGCAAGAGGCCCCCAAGTGTTCCGACGAGGACCCAAAAAGCTTCCCGAGGGCCCAAGAGGGGCCAAGACGGCCCAAAAGGGTCGTTCTGTGGGGCACACGGAACCTCCCAAGACGGCCCAAGAGGCCCCAAAGCCGGCCCAAGAGGCCCCCAAAACGGCCTCCAGGAGGCCCAAGATGGCCTCGTTCGAAATCATGTTCCCGGAAGCCTATCCGGGAACATGATTTACGGGTTCCCAGGACGCCCACAGACGGCCCCCAGAGGCCCCAGACACGCCGAAGATGGCCTCAGGACGGCCGACGACGCTGCCAAAACGCCCCAAGAGCGCCTCCAGAGGCTTCTCCAAAGGGCCCCAGAAGCCGGAAATTATGCATCTTACAATGGTTTTTGAAGCATTCTTGCGCTCTCCCATGTTCCGCCTCCCCACGGTCCTGGACCGCGTCAGAGGCCGTTCAGATCGCTCCAAGACGGCCGAAGAGGCTCCCAAGAAAGCCCAGAGACGGCCCAGGAGGCTCCCCAGATAAGTCAAGAGGGCTTCGAGAGCGCCCCAAGAGAGCCCCAAGAGCGACCCAAGAGGGCCCGAAGAGCGCGACATTTCAAGGTCTCCGGCCTGAGAGGCTCCTAGGACGCCCCCGGAGGCCATCAAGAGGCTCCCAAGAAGCCCCGTGATGCTCCCAAGAGGCCCCCTGGAAGCCCCAACAGGCCCGCAAGGGGCCCCCAGGGAAGCCCCCTGCGGGCCCCCAAGACACTTCGGCAAATCGTATTTCCCAGATATCTTTCCGGGAACATGATTCCTTGGGCTTCCGCCCACCACCCCAACCATGTTTCCAATAGGCTTGCCGACAAGGCCAAAAGGCGCCCCTCGGAAAGCCCCCAGAGGCCCCCCTCTTAGAGAACCGAACACATCATGCTCCCTGAAAGCTTCCCAGGAACATGATTCTCTATCTCGGAGTAGGCCGGGGAGGGGGGCGGGCCGCTGCCTGTTCCCCCCATCGGTGCCCACCGGGGGTTGCGGGGGGGGGGTCCAGAGCTCCCGAGGCGGCCCGAGACCGCCCCGAAGCAGGCCACGACAGGCTAAGGCGGTCCCGAGAGGGCCCTAGACGGTCCAACGAGGCCCCGAAGACGCCCAAGATGCCCTCAAGACAGCCGACGAAGACTCCAACACGCTCCAGGACGGACTCAAGAGGCTCCCCAAGAGGGCCCTGGGAGGCAAGATTCACTCATTTTCCGAGTGTTTTGGATTTTGGCGTTCTCGCTTTTTCCACTTTCCAGCGCTCCCTCACGGCCTCGGAGGCCCTTCAGATCGCCCCACGAAGGCCCACGAGGCCCGGAAGAGGGCCCCAAGACGGCCCAGGATGCTCCCCAGACAACCCAAGTGTGCCCCAAGAGCGCGCCAAGAGAAGGCCCAGAGGGGTCCCGAGGCGGCCCTGGCCCGCTCCGAAGCAGGCCACGACAGGCTAATGGAGGTCCCGAGAGGGCCCTAGACGGTCCCAAGAGGCCCCGAAGACGCCCAAGATGCCCTCGAGACGGACGACGAGGACTCCAACACGCTCCAGGACGGACTCAAGAGGCTCCCCAAGAGGGCCCTGGGAGGCAAGATTCACTAATTTTCCAATGGTTTTTGAAGGATTTAGGCGTTCTCGCTTCTCCCGCTTCCAGCGCTCCCTCACGGCCTCGCTCGGAGGTCCTTCAGATCGCTCCAAGACGGGCCACGAGGCCCGGAAGAGGGCCCCAAGACGGCCCAGGATGCTCCCCAGACAACCAAAGTGTGCCCCAAGAGCTCCCCAAAAGAGGGCCCAGAGGGGGACCTCCAACCGATATTTCGAGGTCTCTGGCCCTAGAGGCCGCCTGTAGGCCCCCGGAGGCCACCAAGAGGCCCCCATTAGCCCCGTGAGGCGCCCAAGAGGCCTCCAGGAAGCCCCAAGAGACCCCCAAGCGGCTCCCAGGGAACGCCCAAGAGGCCCCCCAACACACCCCAAGAAATCATGTCCCCAGAAAACCTTACGGGGACATGGTTCATCATGGGCCCGAGAGTTCCCGGAACGCCCAAGAGACCCCCCAACACACCCCGACAAACCGTGTCCCCAGAAAGCCTTTTGGGGACATGGTTTATCATGGGCTCGCGAGTCTCCGGAGGCTTCGAAGTACCATCATGCTACAGGAGAGCTGTCTGGGAAGTTGATTGGGAACATGACTGATCACATTCTCGCATCCCTCCGCAGATCGTTTCGCACAAAGTTGCCCCAAGTGCCAGCTTGAACCGACGACGACGACGACGAAACAACGAAGACGACGACGACGACAACGACGACGACGACGACGACGACGACGGCGCGCCCCAATAGGCAACGACGACATTATGACGACGACGACCGCACGCCCCAACAGGCTCCC